GAGTTGAACCCAGGAGAGCTCTACGACTGAGTTTACCCCAAACCTTTTTATTGTCACTTTGAGACAGAATCTTGTTAAACTGCCCAGGCAGTACTCACATTTGTGATCTTCCTGCCTCAGCCTTTCTCAGTGCTAGTATTATAGGCATATGCCACTGTGCCAAGTTCATATTTTAATTTAAACTGGACCTAGGTGGAGATTGGATCAGAACACTACCTTTCTCTGATCTCTACTTTAATGTCAAATTGATTGCTACCTCTGGATCTTGGTACCTGAGCTTTGAATGCAGGCTGGCATTAAAGCCCTTCCAACTTCCCAAGTGCCTTAGTCAACTTCCCAGGGCAGGACAAAAATACCCACACCTGAAACTTAAAGGAAGATGGTTTATATTGGCTCACAGTTTTTTATTTTTTGTTGTTTTTTGAGACAGGGTCTCACTATGTAGTTGAGACTGCCCTGGAACTCACTATGTAGCCCCAGCTGGTCTCGAACTGGCTCACAGTTTTAATCCATGGTTGGCTGGCACCAAGGCAGAGAGGATATGATGGCAGGGCCTGCCACAGAAAAACCAGTCACTACATAAAACCAGGACAAGAGCAGAAGGCAAGGGAAGGAGCCAGAGACAATAATACACTCTTCCATACTGAGGATTTAGCTCAGTGCTTCCGCCACCTGCCTTGCAAGTGCAAGGTCACAAGTTTGATCCCCAGCACCAAAAACAAACAAACAAAATACACTCTTCCAGGTCACACCCCCAGTGACCCACATCCTGCCTGTCCCCACCTCCTAACAGCACATGAAACTATTGAATTCTTGGATGAGCACAGTGCCCATGACCCAAACAGCCTCCAAACATGGGAGATGCTCAGGGACATTTTAGATCTAAAGCATTACAGCAAGACAGCTTCTCAGCCTCTACCACGTTCATACGCCTGGCTGTGCAGGTGGCTACATTGCCTTTCTCAACACCTCATCAACCAAGAAGCACCCCTGTCATTCCTGATGCCTCTGACATTCTATTCCTCTGCTAGAACCCTATACAGTCTCAAAACCTCCATACCCAGAGCATGAAACTGCTTTCCTCTCCACCATCACACAGGAGCAATTTACCACCCTTTTGTGTCAAATTGTTCTTCCTTTTGTGGAATATTCACACTGAAGAAATATAAAAGATGCAGAGAGACTAAAAGAAAAAAAAATAACCCATAACCCCATCAGTGAAAGAAACCCACTATTAAGATTTGGGCTATTTTCTAACACTCTTTCTTCAAGAATAAAGAAATCTTTATCCTCCCAGAAGAAATCCTGCTGCCAGATCTTAGGTGTTCCTTGAAAGGGTAAATATGCTAGTACTTAAGATCACCATAAGCAGTAGTCAACTCCTGCCACTTGCTTTTTGAAATAAGATTTTGGAACCATTTTAGACCGAAAAAATTTTATTTTTTCTAGTGCTAAGTGTCAAACCCAGGGCCTCATGCATGCTAAGCAAGGACTCTACCACTGAGCTATATCTCCAGCTAAAAAATGAGTTTTTCAAAGGTGTTATGTGGTGTGTTCATCATTTAGCATGTGCTACATGACCTTCTAGCCAACATGAGTACAACCACAATTCCATCTCTAAGCACAGCGGCACAGCCCTGATCACTGGGCACCCACACATAAGTCCATTTTGTTGATCATCATTGAAAACTGGCATCTAATGCAGTTTGGAGAAAACTATCAACTATACCACATCTAGTTTATAATAGCCACTTTTTAAATGAAAAGAGCTTGTTTTGTCCTACTTCCAAATTCATGTATTCACTTAATAATTAAGAAGTGGTTATTAAACCCATGCCATGGTCTCTGCTCCACAAGGTGAGTGGGGACACAAGATCAGCCCATCCGTAACAACTAGAAAGACGGACAGCAAGCTTTCAGGCAAGGGATGAGTAGGGCAGGAGGATTAAAAATGTGTAAGGAAGCAGAAGGCTAACAGAAGACCAGAGGGAGAAAGCAAGGGAGAGATCGGGGGCTGGAAGGAGCCTTCAGCTCCTTCATGAGAGACCAACTAATGCCAAGCATTGTGAGCCAACCGGATAAGAGATTTGATAACAGCAGCAGGGAGAGGGGACTTCCAAGTGCCTTTGGGAAACAGTAAATGCTTCCCTGAAGAAAAGCCCTGGGCTTAGCATTGAGGGAAAGGGCAGAGGAAGGGGGTTCTAAGCAAGGAGACCAGCTCCATGCAGCCGCAGCACTGGGCACAGTTCCATTTGACCACTACAATGGACATGAGTAACAGAGAGGGATATAGAGCCACTGTGGGAGCTGGGCCATACTGGAAGGCCTGGGTCTAGGCCTGTGAATGTGGACTTCTTAGCCGGACTCCATCAGCCAAATGCTAGCTGGGCCTCTGAGACCCAGACTTGGAGTTTCCAGGATTGTAATGAGAAAGGAGAGCTTGTCCCTTCCTTAAAGAGACAACAGGCTGAGGGACTAGATGCAAACTTGAGGTCCCTGATAACTCTACCTGCTCAGTGTTTAGGAGCCCCATGGCAAGCAACCTCACCTGGCCCCAGGCAGGTATAACTCTTTAAGGAAGGTCTAATGTATGTGGACTTTCAGAATCCTCCTCCTGCCACAATTTCTCCCCAGGTACAAGGTGGCTGTGGCAGTGAGCCTCTCCACCTCCAGGTTCCTTGGCTGGGAAGCCAGTAAGCTGGAGGCAAAGCCCACCATCTCTTCCACACTCAGGAGACACAGCCCCAGGGAGGCCTGGCCACATTCAAGCTGGGAGCTACTGCTCGCCTGCTGCCTGAAGTCTGGCCTGGAACAGGAGTATGGGAAGCCCAAGGACGCAGCCTTTGCACTCGATCTAGGGAGGGACTCAAGGACACCAGAGTCACAGTACTGGCCATGGCCACGGCCACGCTTTCCTGCAGCCCCTCCCCCTTCTCATTCCTCTCCAGACAGTGAGCTCCTTCCAAAGGCCCTGGGTCTCCCCCTGCCTGGACATCTGACCCTGATCTCCTGTTCCCTGACTTTGAGCCAGGGCCTCCCACTGCACCAGGCACACATTAACAGGTCAATAAATATCTTTGTGATAACAAATGGCATCGGCGCTCACTTCCTATTCACCACCTGTGCTTCGTGCCTCTCTCTTAATCTCTGCGTCTTTGAACCCAGTTATGAATATGGCCTCAGGAGCAGATTACACATGCACAGCTGCCTCACTGAAGGGGCGCTGTCTCTGAGTCTATGCTGCAAGTGGACTGTAAACACCCAGTGACTGCAGCTTATCAGTCAGGACTCCGACCCCTTTCCATAATCGGAGCAACATCAACGTGTGCGATTCACTCATTCACTCATCAGACATTTATTGAGGCCACTGTGCATGTTGGGCACAGAGCCGGGAGTTTACAGAAATGAAAAGGATTCATGAAAATGGAAGCAGAATTATAGGAAAGTGTACAATGCAAACAGTGATGCTGTGATATCCCAGAGGGCTCAGGATGGAACACACTTTGAAAACCATGATCAGAGGCTAAGCTATTGATGAGAAATTAGCATGAAAAAGCATATTAGTAAGAAATTAAAAATAAACCCATAAACCTAAACTACTAGAGATTTCTTCCTTTCTTTCTTCCTTTTTTTTTTGCTTCCCTTTGTGTTAGGGTTGGAACCCAAGGCCTCATAGATGCTAAGCACACATTCTACTGCTGAGCTACGCTACAATCCCAATACCTATCTTCCTTTACTTCGGCGTTACATAGGTGACAGTTAAGGACAATGGCTGACATCTATTATGCACCCACTGCATGTCAGGCACTGTGCTTTGGACTCCACTGAGCATAGGCAGAGGTCGAGATGGGTTATGGGGGGCCTTGGGAGCTAGGGGCTACCATTCACTCTTGCATGTGGTTGGTTTCAGTGCCAGATAAGCTACACTGAGATAGAAAAGTTCAAAAGATAATTAAACCAGTTAAAAAAGCAAAACAGCACTGGGACTGAAGCTGGGTTTCAGAGCCAATTTCCAAGAAGTAATTTCATCATCATAGAACATCAAACGTGAATTCCACTTTCAGCTATGCAAATTCCAAAAGAATAATACCTCACATTTGCATAATGCTTGATGGTTTTCAAAGTGCTTTCCCAGTTATTAATCTACAGGAGGCTTTATTACCACCAGAAACATAAATTGAAATTCTGTTCCAGCTCCATTATTTTTTCCACTTTCCTCTCAAAAACGAGAGCCACCTAAATCCAGGTGCTTTTGATGGAGTGGGTAACTCTGCTCAGTACAAGAAACAGGGTGGCTCTGCACAAATGCAGCACATTGTGAGGTCTTCGATCTACAGATGTCACAGAGCCAGGCTTAAGAAAATCTGCTGTCGAATTAACAAAACCACAGGAAAGCAACTTGTAGTTTAAGTTTGAGATTCTTTCAGGGTCTCAAACTTTATGTAAGCCTCACACACTGTGCTTGCTGGAATCCATTCCCTTCTATCAGATATTAGGAAATTAGTTCTACCACTTGGTCCTTAAACCTGCAGAAATCCCTGTCAATGCCTTCCCATGAAGTGGCCCACGTTTTTCAAGCAGCTTCTACATCTTTTCCGTCTTTAATGTAATAAGAACCAAGAGGTTCATGTGCTGTAAATCCAACATCGAGAGAGGATCTTAGAAAAATGAGGTGAGAAGATATGACGGGGTATGAGGAAATACTTCTACCCAAACCTAATGCCTTTCCAATTTTCTTCTTTTTCCATCTCTTTCAAACTTAATTATGTGTAGCATTCTCAGTCACTGAATCACCGGCATTTCCTGACACTTCAATCTCATGCATTTTAGCAAAAGATTAACCTCGCTGTTTGCTTTTAATTCTGAAGCTGTGTTAATACTCAACTCCCTCTAGATTAGAGAAGAAGAAAAACACTCCCACACACCCACCCTGGCACCAGGAAGGCTCCAGGGCTGATATTTCTGCCCATGTCACAATCCTTGAGGCTGGCTGCACTTACCATTTCAGGAGGGCCATGAGAACCACAGCTAGGGCCACGGTCACCATGAGACCATTCACTTCCATTTGGAAAAACCCCAAGACTTCCATGGCTCGTCCCCCAAATGAAAGCAGGTGGCTGATGTCCCTGCCCTTACTGGAGCCCCGATCTGCAGGTGGAGGAGGAAGAAATAGGCAGCCAAGAGCTTATCACCTCGAATGGGTCCCCCAAATGTGCTCTTTCTCAGAGTGTGTCTTTATAAAGAGGAAGGAAGAGGAGGGGAAAACAAAGGGTTTCAGGGCAAGGCGATGAATCAGCAACTTTTATCTTCTTGATGACTGTGCTGTCAATAAACATTTATGTTAACTTCCCTGGGAAACAACAGCAGACACACAGGCCCCATATTGGCCAAGAATGGTTGCAACCATAGATGGCTATGTTAATGAGTAGCTCTCAAAGAAAGATCCTCTTTCAAAACATACATGTATATACTTTCAAAAATTTATAACTAAGCTATGGGTGAGAAGATTCTTAATGTCCCAGAAAAATTTGGGGCCACACATCAGCCTGATGGAAAATACTGTCTGCTCTGAGGCCAGCCACCCCATAAAGTCCCCAGTTCCTGGGTATGATGACCCTCGTGGCTGGGAGGTATCCTTGGTGTCTATCTGTAAGAGCAGCCACAGATCGGATCTCAGGTTGATGCTCTCATAGTGAGTAGGAGGGTTTCTTCAATGTCCTTTGAGATCTGAGCTTCTCAGATTAAAGCAAATTGCATCATTTTTTCCTTATTACTCAGCACATTACACCTTGAGTAACGGGAAGGGTGGATCTGAGAGGGGATCATTCATACAACATTCGTTCACTCATCCAATATGTAAGAAGGCCAGGCTCTGGGCTGTGTTTACAAACAGATTTGGTCTCAGATCCTGGAGAATTTTATTTGAAGGGAGATGGACAATAAACAGGGAGACAAAGCAGAAATTGCAAGCAGAGAAAAGCACTGTTGGTCAAGTAGACAGGCTGTGATGTCACTAAGAGGGTGTGGCACTGGAAAGCTGTCTGAAAAGACGGCTTTCGGCTGAGGCTTGTCAGGGAGTAGCTCATCCTGTACAGAGCCAGGAGCAAAACCTAGGGCAGAAAAGGAGACAGAGATGAAGGCAGTCGGGAAAAAAACTTTCCACCTTGTAGCACTGCAAAGGGACTGGTACCTGCCATCACTATCCTCTTGCTTAGTGGCTACTCTGTAAGGCAGGTGAGGCAGGGATAGGCTGATGGGGGCTGGCATTTTTGATCTGTAGTTTTCAAGGCTGATTATTTTCTGGCTAGGCTTTATTTTCTGGGAAACACGTAGAAGCTGTTTTATGAGCTTTCATGTGTGCCAGTTCATTTAATCTGCACGAACAAGTCTAAGGTAAAGCTTGCAAATTAAAAAAAATATATATTTTGAAGATTCCAAGTTGAAATAAATGTGAGAAAGGCTGGTGTAAACATCAGTGTGCAAGTTTATTTCCTGTACAGATTCTCAGAGACCTGAACCTGCTGATATGTGTTGGGGACATCCCAAAGAAGGACATGAGCGCAGCATTCCCCAAGTGCCTTTGGCCACGGCATGCTTACTGACACACCTTGGAACGCGCTTTGGGAAATGTTGACCAAGGCAAACTATTTACAGAGGAGGAAACAGAAACGCAGAAAGAGAAAGTGACTGGTATGAGAGCTATCATGCCTAGTGCTGGAAGCCAGGTCTCTGTTATGCTTCTCCAGTTCTACATATACACGGTGGCCCGCACTGCCCTGTGGGTTTGGCACCACCCCCTGGCCCAGGGCCCACCCTGTTACCCAAATGCCTTAAAATCCTGGTGGCTGGCCAGAGATACCTGACTTTGAGGGTTGCCCACTCCCCTAGTGCCACTGAGTTCACGGGGTCCTTCCTTTCACATCCCTGGAGCCTTCCTCACTGCTGGGAGATTTGTAGAAATCATAAAGGTGTTGGAGAGATGGCCACGCCCTTTCTGTGCCAGCTACAGAGCAGAGATAATACTCTGAGACCTGTGGACGGCACCTTAGCCAGGATGAAAGGGAAGGGTCAGAAATGAGCAATCGGGGGAATTTTAACTGGGGAAGTGACATGATTAATGACGTATTACAATTTTGCTATCCATGACACAGTGCAGGGACACTGTGGCTGGGATTTTTCCAGGATGAAGGGCAGACTGTTGCCATGATACCATAGTTAAATATTTGGCCTTTAACTATGTTCTGGATATTTTTCTTTTAATAAGATGTCTACCAAAATAATCAACTCTACAGAGCTGCATAGTAAATATCCAATATCCCAACTCCCATGAAAAGACTGTTAACACATTAGCGTACATCTCCTCATATCTTTTTCCATACTTATGTAAGCATGTGTAGACTTTTAGTTTTATGGACGCAAGATCATATGCAGGCCATTCTGCAGCTGGCCTCTTTTACTTCCTATGTCATGAGTACCTTGCCATGCCTATGCCTAGATTCCATGCCTAGATGCCATGCCTGCTACTCCTGATTCCACTCTATGGATGGATGTGTTGTAATGCATGTAGCCCATCCTCTATTGATGAGCACTCAACTTGTTTCCATGTTTTTCCAACTTCAGAGAGTTCTTAGAGGTGGAACAGCCAGGCCCAAAGGCTTGTGTTTCAAAGACACTAGGAGGTACTGCCCTGGGGCGGAGCGATGTGGCTTCCCACCCTGAGCCCACTTGGTAGGCACACCACAGAACTTCTCTCTCTGCCGCCACATACCCCGAGCCTATCTTTTTCTCCTGCTACCTCCAGGCAGACTTCTCCCCAGAGTTGAGTCAATTGTTTTGACTTAAGGCTTGTGTTTCTTTTTAAAGCTTTCACTCCATAAATTCTATGGTATTTCCTCCGTGTTTCTGTGTTTAAAAACTGCCTGTGCAGATGTCTAAGCGGGACCTTGCTCTCTGTGGAAGGTTTCCAGCTGCTCAGCAATGAGGCTCAGGCTGCAAGAGGTGTCTCTGGGCACATTTGCATTGCCGTACAGGACCCTGAGCAAAGGGACAATGATTCGTCCTCAGCACTGCACAAAGACAAGGACTTTTTTTTTTTTTTTTTAATTGAGTTTATTGGTACATTTAGGGATACAGTACAGTTACATTTATTGTTGGGATCATGTACCTTTACATGGCAAGTCTTGATTCTCATTTTTTTCCCCTTACCTCTGCCCTCCCTTCACCCCCTCCTCCCCTCCCCATCTACAAACACTTTATTTTCATCTTTTCATTCTCTCACATTTTTTTCTTTTCCCTTTTTGTTCTTCCCCTACGTATCCCCCCTTCCCTACATCTTTAGCTCCTTTCCTCCCATTTCTAAATGTCAGTAATCTTATTAGAATCTTATGCATTGTTGCAGAATATTCACACCAGGGAAACTATTCGGTATTTACACATGTGGGACTTATTTATTTCACTTAGGAGTATATCTTCAATATGTATCCATTTTCCTATGAATGAATCTATTCTCTCGCTCTTTAGGGCTGAGTAATATTCCATTTTATAGAAAAACCACAACTTCTTTATCCAGTTTCCAACGGATAGGCAAATAGGTTGTTTCCAAGATTTAGCTATTACAAACTGTGCCGCTATAAACATGGGTGCACATACTTCTCTGTGATATGATTCTTTCAGTTCTCTTGGAAAGATACCCAACAGAGGGATGGCTGGGTCAAATGGAACCTCCAGTCCAAGCTCTTTGAGGTATCTCCATATTGATTTCCATAGTGGTTGCACTAGTCTGCACTCCCACCAACAATGGAGGAGGGTTCCTTTCTCCCCACAACCCCGCCAACATTTGTTATTGTGTGATTTCTTGATAGCAGCCATTCTTTGTGGGGTGAGGTGGAATCTTAGTGTTGTTTTCATCTGCATCTCTCGAATGACCAGTGATGTGGAACATTTTTTCATATATTTTCTTGCTGCTTTCACTTCTTTGTATGAGAAATGTCTGTTCATTTCGGATGCCCATTTTTGGATCGGGTCTTTATATTTGGGGGGACTGATTGTTTTGAGTTCTTTATATATCCTTGATAATAGTCCTTTGTCTGAGGTACAGCTGGTAAAAATTTTTTCCCACATTATAGATTGTCTCTTAGTTCTGCTAATGGTTTCTTTTGAAGTACAGAAGCTTTTTAGTAAGATGAGATCCCAGTTGTTGATTCTTTCTGCTAGTTCCCGTGCTACTGAGGATTTGTTCATAAAGTCTTTTCCTATACCAATGTCTGCCAGAGTTCTGCCTAACTTACTTTCCAGCAAGTTTAATGTTTCTGTTTTAATATTTAGATCTTTAATCCATTTGGATTTTAATTTAGGGCATGGCGAAAGATAAGGGTCTAATTTTAATCTGTGACAGGTTGATATCCAGTTTTTCCAACACCATTTATTAAAGAGGCTATCTTTCCTCCACTGAGGATGGTGAGCTCCTTTGTCGAAGATGAGGTAGCTGAGTACATCTGCATTTGTTTTTGTGTCTTCCAGTCTGTTCCATTGATCCTCAGGCCTATTTCTTTGCCAGTACCATGCTGATTTTATCACAGTGGCTTTGTAGTATAGTTTCAAATTGGGAATTGTTACGCCTGGTGCCATGTGACTGTTGCCTATAATGGCTTTTGCTATTCTAGGTCTCTTGTGGTTCCAAATGAATTTTTGGATTCTTTTTTCTAGTTCTGTGAAATATAGTGTTGGAATTTCAATTGGCATTGCATTGAATGTATATAGCAGTTTCGGTAGTATGGCCATTTTCACTATGTTGATTCTTCCTACCCAGGAGCAGGGGATATCTTTCCATTTTTTTATATCCTCTTCGATTTCTTTTTTCAGAGTGCTGTAGTTTTCAGTGTAGAGATCTTTTGTTTCTTTTGTTAGATTGATTCCTAGATACTTCATTTTTTTGGATGCTATTGTAAAAGGAATTTTTTCCCTTATTTCTCTTTCTGTCTGTCTGTTATTTGTGTATAGAAAGGCTATTGATTTTTGGGTATTCACCTTGTATCCAGATACTTTACTGAATCTGTCAATTAAGTCTAGAAGTTTTTTGGTGGAGTTTTTTGGATCTTCAATGTAGAGTATCATATCATCAGCAAATAATGATAGTTTAACTTCTTCCTTTCCTATCTTTATTGCTTTAATTTCTTTCTCTTGTCTAATTGCTGTGGCTAATGTTTCCAGAACTATATTG